GATGCTATCCCTGAAGGCCTGACAGCTGATATATCATAAGTGGTCTTAGAGAGGGCTGTCTTTGAATGGAGCTGACCTGCGCAGCGGGTACAATTAATGTGATGCCGGACCTGGAGCACAGGTAGTCACTAGACTGACAAATGTGATGGTCCTGAAACACAATTTTGTGATAAATAGTCTACTACGTCCAGCATTCGTGCGGTGCTTGTGGTGTGCAGCCTGCGATGATATCTCGATACCCCACCGGTCCGTGTTCGGCTGCTGCTTCCCTCAGCTCTCGTACTTGCAAGCATGAGATGATGATGGTGTCTTTATCATCACACCTGTCAGGGGCATAGAAGTTGATTGACGCTGTTCAAAGTTCAGCGACCTTTGGAGCTAGAAAGTACTTGCAACTTCTAGAGCGGTAAGAACTTGAGATAGAGACTAGATGCTCGAATTCAAGACAAGCAGCAAACCTAACCTGGTAAAGTGAGAAGCAGAAGATCCTACTTAGCTCCTCCCATGTCGTATAAATATCCATGTGGAACCTAGATACGACCAGTGTCAGATGTCCACAGCCACAAGTTCAAGGGCAAAACAAGATTGACAGGCGGGGATTTGCAATTCAAAGAGGTACTGGTTGAGTATTTACTGCAGGTAGCGGTGTCAGAATGAGCAGTGACTTGCCCGATAAGCGGCGGTGATGTGAGAACGTTGCCGCTGCCGATACCAGGACCGAACGGCGTCAATTGCCGGGCAGACGGAGAACGGCACGAATCCCACGCATGGCACCAGTTCGGACTAGAAATTTGCAGTCTCGGCAACATTCAGCAGCACACAGTGGCGAGATCTGAGCACGCCTGCGCCGCTCAAAAAGCCTCGGTAGCTCAGCGAAATCGACCGTGATATGTTTTGCCAAAGATGTCCGGCGACCCTCCGGGAAAGCGAGCCTGAGAACATTTAGCTCAAACAAGGGCTTACTAAGCGAGCGAATGCGCTGGATAGCGAAGACTCGGAAGAGCGTCGAGCAGAGCGCCGTGAGGCAAACCACGCTCTATTGCGTAGTTCTCGTCAGGGGCCGACCGCTACCCCAACCTCGCCAACACTCTCGTTCTGTTTAGAATACTACTACTGAGCCTATATGTCTAGTGGCAGTACAGGTTCCGTCGCACGACTGCAATCGCTCCGATGACCGGCCAGCTGCATCCAGTAACCATGACCCACCGGCAGGGTAGTTTACGGTAGGGGAAGGGCGAGTGGGGGCCTGGGGTAGGAAGCTTCAGACCCCAAGTCTCGTGGCCTTTGGCACATTGAGACCCTCACCGAGGTACCCTTTTCGGCCGTTTCCGAATAGATATTAGACAGGGATCTTACGTTTCCGTGCAGAGACGATGCTGGACTGTTCTCCTTGATACCCACTCGCTACCATTTAGGTGTTTTGTTTCCCAAATACCTCTGCCTCATACTCGAGGGTTTGTGACTGTGTCACCTCTGGTTGATTCTGTTCGCATGCGTGCGCATTCTATTTCGTCTTTGCTTCCTATTGACAGATATCTCACTGTCGACCCGGCGGATATCACTGCCCGGCAAAAGCCGATCCAGACCATGACCGAAATACTGATGTCATCACTTTCATTTAAACTTCCACTAAATTCTCATACTGTCTCAGTTGACTTACTGTGCGACCTTCCCAGCCTGTGAAATATTGCAGCGCTTCATTCCAACATGTCTGAGTTAGTATTTCGCAGACTCCCGAAGTTGCCTCGTAGCTCAAGCGCTCAAGCTGCATGACCATTTTTTAAAACATGTCATTCGAACAGGGAAAACGATCACGTGAAACTCGCTTGATGTGCCAAATGTCTTGGGCTTACTGTTGTTCAACATATACCGGTACTGGATGCCCGAAGTCTGAAAGAAAATTTCATTTGAAAACCATCAACACCCAAGATCATACCGTCAAACAGCAGGAGTTGGCCGCGAGGAGACTCCTTGCAACCAACGAGGGCATCATTCGGATGCATTGATGGCTCACTTGGTGTGGTCCGTGTGGAAGGCCTGAATGATGGCAGTTGACAGACCAGACAGGTGGCAGCAGATGAGAGGGAGCACCGCCGCGGTGCGTCCTTATCCGAGCCAGAAGAAAAAGCCTACCAGCTACTCAAGCCGAATTATAATTATTGTGCACCACTGACACCACCCAGTCTCCAGAAAGCTCGCAACGCCATCTCTCTAAGGATAATAAGTGGCGGCAAAGATAAAGAAAGATGATCCGAACACGGCGAAACAAGATACCGAAACGGCCAGCAAGAGGTTGGGTAAAGATACGGTAGCGTTAGTTGCTGGAAGCGTGTTAGAGGCTGGATGGCTGGGTGCAAGTCCGAGTCTCGGTACCAGATTGAGCGGGACACGGGTGCACGTGATCCCCGGCCGGACTTTACAATTTCTGCAGTAGTTCTTCTGAAAAGCTGTGCGTTCGACCTCGTTCGACAGTTCGAAGGCGAACACCGTTCAACGTTCGCAAAACTTCCCTGTTTCTTTTTCGTGAGCAAATTGAAAGTACTCACTAGTTATGTTCGCAGATATAGTCGAACTGAAGTGACCTGTCTCGTTCTGTCGCACTGAACTCACTCAAGTCAGTCAAGCTCTTCTGGAGCAACATCGCCGTGGCCCACATCCTCCAATTCAAACGCGAGTCCCGTGAGCGTCTTCCGCTCACAACATTCTCATCGCTCGGTCAATTTCGCCACGTCCTTGCGAGATTCTTAACCGCAGCCATGTCTGATGGAGCCGTACCTGATGAGCCACGATCACCTCCATCGTCACAAAAGGATGCAGGGCTGAAGAAGCTCACACCATATTGGTACCCGTATACGACTATGGCAAAGGAGCGGTGGCTTGGACGGGAGATCCTAGAAATCGTGTCAACAGAATTCAGAGATCGATCCATGGAGTACTATGTAGGTGCTTACAAGTCAATTATTCATTTCTTCTCTAGAAATCACTATTCATTTCACAGCGATACGCCCTCGAATCTGGAGTGACAACAATTAATGGCAAGGTCGCAAAACCAAACACAGTAGTGAGGAATGGCGATCGTATAGAGTGAGCGCATTTTTTCTGCGTTGGAGGCATACCTTTATTCATTGATGTAGGAATGTTGTGCACCGACATGAGCCTCCAGTCACATCTACACCCGTCAAAATTGTATTGCATGATAAGAAGCGCGACTTTTTGGTTATTGATAAACCTGGTAGCATAGTTCGTCCTTGGTAAATCTGCTCACAGTGCAACTAATTTAAAGATGTGGTACAGCCAGTACACGCGTCTGGTCGGTACTACCGCCACAGCTTGGTAGAGATCCTTCGTAATGAATTTGGTTTCCCGAAAATTTATAGTGTGTCCATATCTACTCGAAAACAAACTTTACTGATTCACTCACAGCAATTAACCGCTTGGATAGACTTACATCCGGTTTGATGATCGTACCATTGAATGCCGATCTGGCACGTTCGTTATCAGGCGAATTCGTCAATGGTCTAATCCGCAAAGAGTATATTGCTCGTTGCAAAGGAGAGTTTCCCGCGTGAGTACTTTTAATATCTACCCATATGGTTGTATTGAGGAAATGGGCACAGTGAGGAAACGATATGCGAAGAACCCCTCTTGACTGTTGATCGACAGATGGGGCTCAACATAGTACACCCGGAAGGAAAGGTACGCGGCGGCTTTAGCTGTCAGTGGAGTTTTTGACAGTTTGCAGCCAGCGAAGACGATTTTTAACCGGCTTCATTACGATTCCACGACCAACACGAGTGTGCTTCACTGTGAGACTTTTAGTTATACACTCTATTTGATGAACACATTCTTTCTCTTTAGGCCGTCCTATGACAGGTCGATGTAGGGCTCACACAGATGTCATGCCGGATGTTCCTGACCAAATTCGTTGCAGCCCATCAGATACGAGTTCATCTACAATACCTCGGTCATCCAATAGCCAATGACCCTGTTTACTCTGAGGAACGAATATGGGTGAGGGTCCCCGTGTGATCTCAAGAATGCCTTGTATAACATCCACTCCGTCCATAGGGAGTCAATCTTGGCAAAGGGGGCGTGGATGTTATTCCTTGCGAGCACCGTGCTGCACCAGCGCCGCCAGCGCATCTGCTGAGTGACAATAGTCCGGAAGCTCTTAATCTGAAACCCTCCGACGACACAGACTCACCATTATTACTTACTTCGGAAGAGGAGAGCAATGCGAGAGCGAAATTGCTTCCACGCGAAACTGGACACGACATTGGAATGGGGTCACCTGTCCCGTTGTCATCTGAAGCAGTGGAGATTATAACGAAACTTCGGCATATGAAGGTGAGCGATTCAAAGCATGAGCAAGTGTGTGACGCACTCATAGAAAATAGGACGAAGACGAGGATTGGAGTCGCTGGCGAGATGTCGTATTTCGGGCGAAGGCCTCACTCACACCAAAAGACATCCCTCGTGCCCCTCTTCCTCCACAGAACAAACGTAAAAAAGGGGGTCCTTCCCTCCCACAAACTCCTCTGCCAGAAGATATGTCTATGACCCCACAGTTGACTCAAGGGGAAGCTTTAGCACGGCTCTCGCAGATGGAGGCCCCCTCCCCAGCTGTTGACACAGCGACAGGAACACTGTATTGTTCAGAGTGCTACTTACCACTACATCCTGATCCAAAGCCAGAAAGGTTGTACATTTTTCTGCATGCCCTTAGATATACCACAAGCCTCGGGTGCTTTGAGACAGATATACCAGAGTGGGCAGCTGAAGGATGGAAGTGGGACCAGGCTTAGATGGCACTACGTTCTGCGATACTATTTTTACATTTCTGTGCGCGCATGTATCAACTACCGAGTACTGCCCCAAGAAGCTCAGCGAAGTTTGTTGAAAGATTGTCCAGATTTTTTTTTTGCCTTGTTCCTTCAGAATTCTATGTATATAGTTCACACCATCACATCACGGAGAACTTGGATTCGCTTGTACAGAACTGTCAAGCAAGACACGAAGCTGTCCAAACTAGCACGCATCATATGATGATCTCAGGCTGTTCAAAGCTGCCACCACACGAGCTTACGTAAGTTGCGATAAAAATAGACTTGTTTGCTCGCCGCGTAAAGGTTCACAGGTAGCAACTTGAGCCTTCAACACATTGATTGCTCAGACGACGATATCTTGAATAGTCAAACTCATATATTCTTATTGAACATTTAGATTCGGATAACTTTATGGACCGATGGTAAGTCGCTATTCCTGCGTACGCTACCTTGACAGCTGATAGGTGACATGATCCCCCTCGAGACACATCATGACTATATAGTTCTTCCGACATCGAGCGAGGCAAGGGAAGATGTCAGCGAGGGCGCTGACCCCATTCTAGAATCATTACTACGAGATAATAAGGGCGTCACGCTTTATACACCGCATGGAGGCTCTCTAGTTGTTCATGAAGATGGTCATACCTATAACTTTTCATATGGACCAAGCGGAATTTCAGGTCTAGTTCACAATCGTTATGCTGTTGCGTGCGCAGCGTTTGCTGGGATCGGCGGTGTTTCATTCGGGTATGACCAAGGCGTTATTTCCAATGTCCTAGTCATGAAAGACTTTCTGGCTCGGTGGCCAATCGGACCATGGGAGAAAGGAATGATGAGTATGTGAAGCGGCGATCTCATTTAGTATCTCCACTCATATTTGAAATGACAGCTGCTGTTCTTGAGCTTGGCGCATTGTTTGGCGCTATTACGAGCGGAATCTTGGCAGACAAGTATTGTCGACGTCAATCCATTTTCTTCGCGTCCAGTGGGTCATTTGTTTATCCCAGAAAAGAGATCTAACCACGGGCCTTCTCAGTCATTTTCTGTCTTGGTTCAGGACTGCAATGCGGGGCGCAGTCGTTGAACGATCTTATCATTGGGCGAGCAATTGGTGGCTTTGGAGTTGGAGCCCTAAGGTAACGTCGAATCTTGAATGGGCTCTATTTATGTAACTGAGTGGCGATAGTATGCTTTCACCGCTTTACATGGCCGAGATTAGTCCTCCTGAGCTCCGCGGCTCACTCATGGCGCTTGAGCAACTCGCTATCGTTCTTGGAGTTGTGTTTGGGTTTTGGACAGGTTTTCTTACGAGACACAGTTCGTGCTTCTGTCACGAATCTCGATTGTTCTCATGTGCTACATTGGGTTCATAGTTGCCGGATCTGCTTCGTGGAGAATTCCACTGGCACTCCAGTTTCTCCCAGGTATCTCGCTTTGCCTCGGATGCTTTGTTCTACCACCTTCACCCCGACTGCTGGTGCTCCGTGGTCGCATCGACGATGCACGGAATACTTTAGCCAAACTTCGTTTGCGTACTCCTGACGAAGCAAAAGAAGATCCGTTGATCCAGGTATTTTTCCTCCTATCTATGTCTACATTCAATGACAGTACCATAGCTTGAGCTATTGGAAATGCAAATCAATGTTGCTCTCGTCCGACAAAAATCAACAGATGGACTCTCACGCGAAACATGGACAACCCTCTTCGGTCGGGAGTACGTCAGACGGACTCTTATTGGCATCATGATCATGTTCTTTCAACGTGAGTATCATCAGATGTCATCTTCATATATTGTACCTAAACATGAATTGTGCTATAGAGTGGAGCGGCATTAATGCACTTCTTTACTATGGTCCAACTCTAGTTGAAAGCATAGGGATGCGCGGGGACACCGTCACACTTCTCGTTTCAGGTGGGATCGGAATCATCCAATTTCTTGCAGTTTTTCCGGCCATCATATTTCTTGACCGGTGGGGTGTGTGCTTTGTCTTTTTTGTAACTTCATGTTTTCTTAGTGCACTTCTCATAGGCCGTAAACCCCTTCTCAAAGGTTCCCATTTTTGTTCTTGAATCACCCACCTTGTGACTCACTGCAACAAAGGCGGCAGCGCAATTATGGCTGTGTCGCATTTCATGATCGCAATATTAGTATGTCCCCTATTCATGATCAGCACATACTGAGCCACAAGAATTCCATGTTATACAGATCCACCTTTTTCATGATGACTGGGAATCGAACACCATAGCTGCTTGGGTAGCGGTGTTGTAAGTTTTTTTTTTCACCCAGCTTCTCTCCACTTATTCAGATGAAATGATTGCCAATAGTTGCACGTACATATTTACTGCAGCTTATGGCATGTCCTTTGGACCCATTGGTTGGGTTCTTCCCAGTGAAGTATTCCCCCTTTCAATGCGAAGCAAGGGAGTTTCCTTATCAACAGCTTCGAACTGGATCAACAATTGTATGTTCTGTTGTCTATTTCCGCGACTCATACTGACATAAGATCCTTTTTTTCCCCGCCGGCGCTCACCTTCCTGTGTAGTCTTGATTGGCCTGATTACACCGCCGCTGATGGAGATGTCTTCTGCGTATGTCTATCTTCCTCATTTATATATCCCAGCGGTGATGTATCGTTTGCGGACTTTGCATTCTTTGGCAGTGCGACCTTTATGATTTTCGCGTGCGCCTGTTTCGGGGCCTACCTGTGGTCTAGTTATGTTGTTCCAGAGACGGCAGGCGTTTCTCTCGAAGAAATAGATGCAGTCTTTGGTTCTGCAGCAGGTCAGAAAGACCGCAAACGGAAATGCGAGGTAGGAGATTGTCCTGCTTAGTCTATGTTAGTGGTCTTCCTATTCTCAAGATTATTCTAGCTGGAACGCGAACTCGGGCTGTACGACCTAATTAAGGGTCTTATTCCTTCGGAGGCAGTAGGCCAAGAGTAGCAACAACTCTAATGAATTCAACAAGATGTGGTATATACGTATCTAGATTAACCACGTTACCATGTTATCTAGCTACAATGTGTACAGTACAGCGCACTAATACTCCAGATGGTTCCTGTCATTATACATGTTGTTCTCCAAGAATACGAATGGATTAGTGGGCTTTCCGACTAATAAATATGATTAAGGTGACAAGCGTGTCAGGGCATGGTAAGGAACGTGACAAAGAGCGTATAATGTGTGGTGATGTGAATGCTGTGTGGTGCATCGATAAATTAATTGGAGGTAGTACGCCGCCGTCCTGTGAGAGTGCCATATGCGCCCGAGAAGAGTTTGAGCTTCCCGGAAGGAGTATCCGGTTGATCCCGTGCCGTATGTTTGCGGCGGGAGTCGCGTTGCTGCGGCACAGGGAAGAAGTGCACCGAGTGATTCGCGTTTTGGTACAACATGCGTGACTCAGACTCTGCAAACATCATACGCTGTGGAGATTGTGGCGTGTATGAATCGGGGGAATAAACGAACGACTTTGAATCCCGTGGTCAGACACGTGGCAAGACACGAGAACATTAATGAATGCTCACAACTTTGCGCTCCACCTGCATCACGACGGGATCAGGACCACTCTGTTCTGACTCTTCCGAATCGGTCTCCCTTTCCGCCTGTGACTGCCACACCCATGGCTTCTCCACTGGCTCGGTCTCCAGCACCGGCAGCTGATCCTCGTCATCATATACAGCTTCTGCCCAGCAGATATCCAAGAAACAGTCCTTTGGAGCGTACAGAAGCTGCTCGTCTAGTGCGCCAAGACAAGTAACATCAAAATCCACTTCGCGTAAGGAGCTGTCAAAAATCCATATGGAGCGTTCAAGTCCCGCTGCTGGGGTCACTGGTACAGGATCGACGACAATGGGACTCAAAGAATCCTGCGTGCGTGGTGGGGGCCTTTTTAGCTTGTTTGAAGTAGATACGGGGTAGTCTTTGGGAGGTGGTGTAGGCGGACTCGGCGGGTGGAAGAAATCGATCGGTGTCGGTGAGCGTGGGGGACTAGGATGTTCGTAACGGTACTCAGGGAATGCGTGTGCGAAGGAACTATCAGGGATTTGCGTTTCTAATCCCATGAACGCGTCTGAGGTCGCTCGAGGGCGAGCAAAGGACTCTCCAGTGGGGGAGTAGAATGGAGTGAGCTGTAAATGCTGAATCAGAAGCCATAGGAAACGAAAAAGAGCATATTAGCACTTACAGGGAAGTCGATGCATGAATCGTCTATGCTTTTCCTGATAGATGTTGGAAAAGATATCTGGGTGAGTCTCGTGAAGCCGGTCGCGAAACGGTCGCGAGGAGTGCATCTGTCGACAGTCAACCCCGTAGACTTCAAGTTCATCGTGATAATTTTTTACAAGGGGAGAGAGAGGAGGGAAAGGATTCGAAAGGAAATGCCACAGCAAGCGCAGACAACCAACACCTCGGGAGGGGGGAAATAGGTCTCGTCGTGAGGGTTCATCGCTATCTTTATCCAAAGCAAAAGTATGGGCGTCAAATGCTGGTGTACCAACGCGGAGACCCGAAGCCAACCTTAAGTGATAATGAAACGTAATGTATTGCGTACTATGTGGGCTTCTCTGTTGAGAAGCGGGAATTGGACTGACAGGATGCATTGGGCCGCCGGGAAGAACCAGTGATCATGGGAAGGCAGCACGATGACTGCATGATGGATCAGGTTAATCGTTGTAGGTCGTAATCGGTTCCCAAATGACCGAGTCGAACGAGTAAAATTTGGGCTTCTGCGGCGGAACGAGTGGCTACTAGGTAACAAATGAGTAAAGGAGATATATAACCCTAGGAAGCAAGGCCCAAGGGTCAATTTTATAGGGTCCTCGAGTATCAGTAGTAGGAGCCTTAACGACCCTTGATGAAAATGAATGGCAATCCATCACGCTATATAGACTGGCATCAGAGGTGGGAAGTGGAATTTAAAGCCGATTGGACGATGCCTTGGGGGTGTCATCCCTCCTGCATCTGTACCTTGACAAAAAATTTGTTGTCGGCTGCCATGACATGCCGTACTTGAACACGATCGCCCACAGTCAAGATGAAGTTGTCGGAATTCTTCTCGTTTGACCAGTGATTGACAGACACGGCATATATGATGCGCAGTAACATCTTGAGGACGCCACCATGCCCCACCTGCGAATGCACAAATGGAATTTGTTACGGCTGGTGGAAACGGTGGTATCAGCCTAGTTATGAAACGTTAGCATCATGGTTGTTTAAGTTCAACCATACCCCATATCACTTAGCATTCTAGTAAGAAATAACGTATTTGAAACGTTCCTCGTCGCGAGGCCGTGTTGGTATTATGCTAGGGTTGCACGTGTGCACAAGAACGCTGCGATTACTCCGATATATTGCTACTGCACAAATAAACACACGAAAAAGACAAACAACGCATGTAGTAGGTCACGAAAACGATGTGTAAGTCTCCACAAGGAGAAACAAGCTACGGTAGCGGTATAGGCGTGAGTTAAAAGAGAAATTAGCACATCGTCTCAGGTCGGATTCGGTATGGGACGCGATATGTGAGGTGTACAGTCCGTGTTGACGGGGTTAACGAGAGGCATAAGTGAAGCAATGCAACGAGCGTGGGGTGGGCGAGAAACACAATCGGACAAAGAGGATATAAGTCAAGTGTGAACATGGAATGGAAAGAAAGTAAAAGATAAAGCGGACACAAAAATGTGAGTAAAGTAACACTAACAACGGCCAGACTGAGAAAGTGAAGTGAATAAAGAACACAACAACCAATAGCCCAATAGGTCCCCCCTCACGAGGACATCCGAGGCTATCCTTCCCATCCACTCGTTGTTTGCGACTTTTTCGAGAGGGAGAGACACCGGGTATACGGTAGGCACTCAGCAGAGTATACCTCACTCCCTGGGCGTTCCATATTTAAATGGATGCTTCCATCTCCTCTGGGCCAGATACAATGACATTTGCATTATTCCCTTCGTCCTCAGGGGCCACAAACTGGGAAGGCTCGATAGGCTCGGTAGCGCTTACAGGCTCTGCGCTTGCTGGTCCGTTTCCGCTGGCGCTCCGTCTGACTGAAGAGCCACCTTGGGGACCCGATCGCGGCGGGTTCGCACACCGGTCCTTGCCATGCGCGATGCGCAAGTTCGCGTATTCTGGCTTAATCTTAATGCTGTCGATAGCCTTGATAGCGTTAGAGATATTGGTGAAGTTGACGAAGGCGCAGTTCCTGAAGATAACAATATCAGAAATTATCATCGACCGCCAGACAAGATAACGCACTTCTCCCTGAGGAAATTGACCAGCTCAATATCCCCAAACTCGCCAAAGTCCCTCTTCAGCTTCTCCTCATTGAATAATTCAAAGTCTTCAATGCTACCCACATAAACATTCCTGGTGGCCCCTGAGTGAACAGCGAGCGCAAGACTGGGCGGCAGTGGACCAGAATTTTTGCCCCAACCAATTTTGAGTCGACGGTTGTTCAAGGTAAGGCCTTGGTAGGATGCCACTTGGTAGAACGTAAATGCTGCTGCAGGGTCAACAAAGGTGATGAACTATCACCCAAATAGATCAGCAAGTACACTCAGAACGTGCCATATAAATTTGACTGACGGCAATGTGCTTGTCCTGCATGTACCTTACGCTTTGCAACACACCACCCCGAATAGCGTTGCACAAATCTTCCGTTGTTGTCTCAGGATGAATATTGCCCAAATAGACCGTGCGATTGAGGGATTGACCACCTGTCATGTCCGTTGCAAAAGGGTACGGCGAATATGGCGAACCAAAGTGATTCGGACCCGCAGCAGGGCTAAGATTTGCAGATTGAGCAACGAGAGATTGGGCGGCAGCAGCCTGGGCAGCTTGTGCAGCAGCTTGCTGAGACTTTGGTATGTATGCGCAACGGTCCTTGCCGTAGTTGACCCGCTTTCCAGCCCAAGCTGGCTCGGTAGGGAGCGTATTAACCACCTGAATGGCCGTGTGAGCACCAGAATGTGGTGAAAAATTCAGATACAACATACTTTGGTAGCAACCGAGATACTCAAGAAGTGTACGAATCCAATGTTCTTGTCACGGACGATTTTGACCTGATCAATTAGCCCGAACCGGCTGAGATCGTCCCGCAACTGCTCTTCTGTCGTGTTTTCATCCAGACCACCGAGGTATACGTTCCGGCTGGCATTGCTCTGGCTGATCGCAAGGCTCACCTGCGCACTGACAGGAGATGGTTTCCCCCATCCGATCTTAAGTTCCTGACCGTGAAGGGAGAGCTTCTTGATGGTAGCATCGGCGTGAAACGCCGCAGCGGTTGCGCCATCTAGAAAGGACAGAAAAACACAGGATTTTTCAGGAAGAACACGAATGGATTCGAGGGGGCCAAAGTGCACGAGGTTAAGTAGTTCATCAACAGAGGCGGTTGCGGGGAGGTTGCCAACATAAACGGTGCGACCAGTGGCATTGGTCGTTGCAGAAAGCGCGGCAGAAATAGCTGCCGGCGAGTAAGCACCTGGGGTCGGAGGAATGTTGACATTTAAAGAAGGTAGCCGAGATTGCTACAAGACACATATGAGATTAGCAATGTGACCCATTTCCGTGTCCACAATAATAGGATGTACCTGACCATAGTTACCAGCTTGCGCGCCGTAGGGAAACCCGCCCAACATATTCATTCCGGGCAATCCCATGCCAAGCATGTTGTAACCAAAGCCTCCATATGGGCCTACACCGTTTGACTGAGGCGCATGTTGTTGCTGTTGTTGTTGGGCAAATGCGTTTTGGTGTGCGGGGCTCATTTGAGGGTTCATGCCTGCACCATTAACAGCAGTGTTAATCGTAAGATTCGGAGTAGAGTAAAGCTGATTGGAAAAGGCAGGAGATGAAGGTTGGAAAGGCTGATTGATCTGGGCATGCGGACCATAACCATAGTTGGCAAAGGCGTCACGAGTAACAGCAGTAGGTGCCGCAGCGGAGGTAGCAGAAGCACTAAATGTGGGGGACCAACGTGCCTTTTTGGCATCAGGACCACCGACGGCATCCATAGACCTCTGTTTGACGGGTCAACTGTGCAATGATGAGATTGTAAAAAAGACAGACCTTCATCATGTCGAGTTCAAAACCGTAAGAATGGTAGTGAGTTGCAAAAGCTGTTTGGGAGTCGTCCATATTTCCGGGTATGAGGTAGGAGAATTAAATGGATTGAGAAGGAGAGCAACGGCGGAATGT